TAAAAAAAACTGGGTCGAGTCACCTTAAATCGCTTGATTTACGGTTAGCCTCTTCAGTGTAGGCCGTGAAGTGAATCGAGCCAATGAATTAGCTAAGATAGCATGACAAAGAACTGCTGTGTTTCTAACTCTTTTTTGCTAAAGTTGCGTGACTTCTGGCGTGAATTGTCTTCGAGACGCGACGGATTTAGGCTCCGCCCACTCACTACTCACGCGATATTTCTCTTCTGCCTGATCCATCAGTTTTTGTCTCATACTTTTAGGGTCTCCACATATTTCCACTTTCCTTTAAGTTGGAAAATTTCTACGCGAAAATTGAGCAGTAAAATTACTATGAGCTGTTCAATTTTAACGTCCAGCTCGTGAAGGCATCTTGGGCGCTATATCCGCGACATCATGTAAGTCTTAACCTCTTTGTAGACTTTGTACTTTTTTCAGAATAATCAAGGTCTCTGTTTTCATCTGAACACACTTCGCACCAATATTATCACCTTTACAGTATTTGAAATGCGTTCGAATGAAATGCAGTAATAACAAAATGGAGCAAAAAAGACTGAGCTGTGCTAAATCGCTTTGTTGAACTACAAGTCGCGTGATTCTGGGTAAATTCCATTTTATGTATTTCCTACGTCATTTACCTATCAAGTCTCGTAATCAAATCCTCAAATCAACATGATTCTATTTACCCACAACTTTGCCCATCACGATCAATAAAAACACAGGAAGTAGGTATCGCATAACACAAAGCTAACATTGTAAAAAGTAGTTTTCCGCGCCACTTTTTAGTTCTTTCCTGTAAGGGTCGCGGTTGGTTTTCTCAATCAGTAATCGTCGCGGTGTAGAGGTTTGTTATCGATTTTTTTATCTTCTTAGTGTTTAAGGCCTTTCAAACAAAGTGAAGATCAATTTTTGTGAGTATTATGTTTCTTGGTCGCACTCAATTCTCCGTCCGAAACAGTGATTTATCTCAGGAGTAGCTCATTTGAGAGAGCCGCACTCAGCTACTTATAAACCCCAGCCAATTCATTTCGTTTTCGTCCAAAGCGATAGTCCTCTCGCTCACATCCGTATTTTCTCTTCGAATTTTGATTTCTTCTTTACGATTTTATAATTTACTTCAAGTGAAACTGAGGAATTTGCTAACAGGTCGAACTCCCCATGAAGGAAGTCGTGAAGGTTTTGGCGATGGCGTCGTGTCTTGACCTTGCCGTTTAATCAGATCTCAATTTCTTCTTCTGAACACACAGCACCAATTGTCTTTAAACAGATCTAGATGTAATAGCATGAACTCTAGATGGATGTACTCTAAATTGGTTTAGTACTTGTAAATTAAATCGTGTGTGGTTCTAGGAAGTCCTTATAGTCAACACAATTCCCCTCTACGGGGAATGCCGAATCTTCTTCAACCATAATCAGTTGTTTCTTTTATAGCAGAATCACGTTACTTGACTCCTAGGAAGGCCCAGCTCTGAGCTTCGTTTTCTCTGACGACTTCCTTGTTTTGCATTTTTCTACTTTTATTTTTAGCCATTTAGAGCTCGTTTGTTTTGAGTGCCGGGGTTGTTTTTAAGCTGTGTATTCGTGCGATCTCTTGCAAGAGAACTGCAAGAGGATTGGTTTTGAAAGGGAAGCTGCAACGCGCGTATTGTTGTTCCACCTGACACTAAGGGTGTGTTCCTTTCGGCGAATCCAAAAACGGATTTTGGATCCTAGATTTGCCAGATTTCGCGGTCGAAAGGAACGTGAAATCCGAAATTGGATTTGTAACCTTGGTAACCTTTCGCCAACGCGTGCAATATGTACGACAGCCTCTTAAGAAATGACGTGTTTTCTACTGTTTGACAAATTATGCGATTATACCGTGCAGAATATAGTGGTCGGCAGTTCGAATAGCGACGATGGAACATATAAAACAGACAAAGAAAGAAGCGCATTAAAATTAAAAATTATCTAAAGAATGTCGGCCAGTTTGATCCAGTTCCATAGCTCGGATATTTTTATGTAACACGATCGAGTGCCTGTCGCGTCTACAAGCGAGTTGTAGTTAGATAGCAGTTCATTTGTTACTTGTATAGTACTTATTTCAAGCAATTTTTAGAGACAAATGGTTAGTATATGGATATTTTAACGTACCAGGGACAATCTTCTAGTGTTTTCAGATGTTTTGCGACAAATGACAGCAACGAGGAAACTCTACGGCCTCTATGGGAATACTTCAACTGGAAATACCGCTGGATCATCTGACTAATTTCGGATCCACTGTGAATGGAACAGCGTAGATCACTAATCCGTTAATCTGGATTTGGATTCTTCGGATTTCAAATCTAATGAATCCTTTTTCAAAAAGGATTCACCAGATCAAAATCCGGATTTGGATTTGCCGAAAGGAACACGAAATCCGTTCTTAGATCTAAAATCCGTTTTTGGATTCACCGAAAGGAACACACCCTAAGAGGATCAAATCTCCCGATTTTCAAATTGTGGTCATTTCACATGATTTTTAATTCAAAGATAAAAAGTTATTCATCTTATCTCAACTCCGCCTTCCACACCTGACACACCTTAGAGACGCGCGTACCTAGTACAGACATTACAACTTCCTATAAACAGGCTTCGTAAAATTTCAACAGCTGAAACCGTGGTGTTCCTCTCTTCTTTTTAGTTTTATATATATTGTAGATTGATCTATATGTTATCCATTCTATGTGTTATACTTACGATAAAAGTAAAGGTGGGGATACCAGAGAGCTTCAAAGTAGGATGGTACCCCCTAAAAAAAACTGGGTCGAGTCACCTTAAATCGCTTGATTTACGGTTAGCCTCTTCAGTGTAGGCCGTGAAGTGAATCGAGCCAATGAATTAGCTAAGATAGCATGACAAAGAACTGCTGTGTTTCTAACTCTTTTTTGCTAAAGTTGCGTGACTTCTGGCGTGAATTGTCTTCGAGACGCGACGGATTTAGGCTCCGCCCACTCACTACTCACGCGATATTTCTCTTCTGCCTGATCCATCAGTTTTTGTCTCATACTTTTAGGGTCTCCACATATTTCCACTTTCCTTTAAGTTGGAAAATTTCTACGCGAAAATTGAGCAGTAAAATTACTATGAGCTGTTCAATTTTAACGTCCAGCTCGTGAAGGCATCTTGGGCGCTATATCCGCGACATCATGTAAGTCTTAACCTCTTTGTAGACTTTGTACTTTTTTCAGAATAATCAAGGTCTCTGTTTTCATCTGAACACACTTCGCACCAATATTATCACCTTTACAGTATTTGAAATGCGTTCGAATGAAATGCAGTAATAACAAAATGGAGCAAAAAAGACTGAGCTGTGCTAAATCGCTTTGTTGAACTACAAGTCGCGTGATTCTGGGTAAATTCCAATTTATGTATTTCCTACGTCATTTACCTATCAAGTCTCGTAATCAAATCCTCAAATCAACATGATTCTATTTACCCACAACTTTGCCAATCACGATCAATAAAAACACAGGAAGTAGGTATCGCATAACACAAAGCTAACATTGTAAAAAGTAGTTTTCCGCGCCACTTTTTAGTTCTTTCCTGTAAGGGTCGCGGTTGGTTTTCTCAATCAGTAATCGCCGCGGTGTAGAGGTTTGTTATCGATTTTTTTATCTTCTTAGTGTTTAAGGCCTTTCAAACAAAGTGAAGATCAATTTTTGTGAGTATTATGTTTCTTGGTCGCACTCAATTCTCCGTCCGAAACAGTGATTTATCTCAGGAGTAGCTCATTTGAGAGAGCCGCACTCAGCTACTTATAAACCCCAGCCAATTCATTTCGATTTCGTCCAAAGCGATAGTCCTCTCGCTCACATCCGTATTTTCTCTCGAATTTTGATTTCTTCTTTACGATTTTATAATTTACTTCAAGTGAAACTGAGGAATTTGCTAACAGGTCGAACTCCCCATGAAGGAAGTCGTGAAGGTTTTGGCGATGGCGTCGTATCTTGACCTTGCCGTTTAATCAGATCTCAATTTCTTCTTCTGAACACACAGCACCAATTGTCTTTAAACAGATCTAGATGTAATAGCATGAACTCTAGATGGATGTACTCTAAATTGGTTTAGTACTTGTAAATTAAATCGTGTGTGGTTCTAGGAAGTCCTTATAGTCAACACAATTCCCCTCTACGGGGAATGCCGAATCTTCTTCAACCATAATCAGTTGTTTCTTTTATAGCAGAATCACGTTACTTGACTCCTAGGAAGGCCCAGCTCTGAGCTTCGTTTTCTCTGACGACTTCCTTGTTTTGCATTTTTCTACTTTTATTTTTAGCCATTTAGAGCTCGTTTGTTTTGAGTGCCGGGGTTGTTTTTAAGCTGTGTATTCGTGCGATCTCTTGCAAGAGAACTGTAAGAGGATTGGTTTTAAAAGGGAAGCTGCAACGCGCTTATTGTTGTTCCACCTGACACTAAGAGGATCAAATCTCCCGATTTTCAAATTGTGGTCATTTCACATGATTTTTAATTCAAAGATAAAAAGTTATTCATCTTATCTCAACTCCGCCTTCCACACCTGACACACCTTAGAGACGCGCGTACCTAGTACAGACATTACAACTTCCTATAAACAGGCTTCGTAAAATTTCAACAGCTGAAACCGCGGTGTTCCTCTCTTCTTTTTAGTTTTATTTTGTAATCATCTGCACTTGGAAAGAGGTTTGTAATTTTACATTACACATTCTTACTAGGTTTTTAATCACAGAAGATCATTTAACCAGACCAGGGCTTCTCTAAAGTCATGTCAGACTGCCACTGATTTCGACGTCATATGATCTCGTTATAAGCTTGCTTTCCACTTGGTTAGTGTAAAAGACCAAAGGGTGTTTTTCTGTTGTACAGTAACCAGACAGCCAGTATCTAGAAGCCGGTATAAAATAAGGTATGTTTTTCCATTCCTCTGCAGTCATGTCTTCTGAAAACTGGGCGGATCTTTCAGATCTTTAAAAATTGACTCTTAAGGTAAAATAGTTTAATTGTAAAGATCAGAGTAGTTAACAAACTGAACTGTTAACTCGATCTGGTCAGTATAAAACTTTTTGAAGTAAAACGGGGCTGACGCTTTATGTAAATAGAATCATTTGTTTGTAACCCCGGTCTTTTATCGGCACACTGTTACAGTTACGTGTTGTCAGTCAAAGCTAAAATCTATTCCTAATTTTCTTCTCTTTTTTCAATTTCTTTTTGATTTGCTGGGAGATTTAATTTTTCGCTCAGCTTCGAACTTTGTTGAGAGAAGAATCCGGTCCACAATATGTGACAGCTTAATTGTTTTTGAGTCATTTATGAGTTCGTGACACGATGGAGGGCTTAAAATTAACTTTGTGCAATTGTTACTTTTATAGTCTGAGTATAAGTATCCCAAAATACAAATATTGAACCTCAATAATGATAAGTAATAAGTACCCTATTTTAAACTATGGTCAGCATTTGATGTCCTTAAGCAGACTTTAAATAGTTTTTGTGTAATCTGTTTTTATAGTCAGAGTGTTGTGTGCGCAAAATACAATTCAAATAGACCTCAAAACAGTGTTTAAGTACCCCATTTAAAAGTATATAAAATGTGGTCAGTTAAGTTAAGGTCTTAAAACATATTTCAAATAGTCTATTTGAACTCTGTTTGTAACTTTGTGAGTGGATGCGTCTCAAAATACATTTTAGATACAACTCAAAACAAAGTATTTAATTAACTGCAGTCGCATTTAAGCTTTTAAAACATATTTCAAATAGTCTATTTTAACTCTGTTTGTAACAGTGTTAGTGGTTCTATGCCCTAAATACATTTTAAATACGCTATTTTAATCATATTTATTAAACAAAATACATTTTGAATTGATGAGAGAGGTTTTCCTTTTGATAAAATATAATTTAACTACACCTAAGATATATTTCAAACAGGGGCAAAAAGTTAAATTTTTTTGTCAAATAGGATTAAAATACAGGAAAATAGTGTTCAAACACTGAAAACACATTTTAAATACTTTAAAATCAGTTTCAAAATACATGTGGTTTGGTAAGGGTTACAGGAGTACAGTATGTTGCCCAGTATCCGGACACTTCAGTTTAACATTGCAATAACTTTCCTTTATTGATCGCAAGAGCTCTGAAATTTGGCCCAGAGAAAATCTATTTAGTCCTTACTATGACAAAAGACAGTTTAACTTTTTTGCCTCTGGTTCCATCGCGAAATTAATATTTTTGCAGAGCTCCTATGTTGCCCAGTATCCGGACACAACAATAACAACGTAATTGTACATAAATTTCGACAGGCAAGCGACTTATAAGCTTCTCTTGCACTTGCTAAGTAGTCTCGCAATCGATTCCAAAAATATAACCTAGCTTCGTGAAATAAAACAACAAATGACTAGGGTATGGTGGGGAACGCGAGCGGTTGTTTAATAGCATAATTCTTACTTCGTTGTCTAGGAACTTTTTCACTGATTTAAGGAAGGTATCCGTGGACATGCCGAAGCCGCGGTTTGCTAGCTCAATTACCCAATCTGCAAACGAATTTTTTTCTTTATTTTTTATTTAAAAAGAAAGCTTGGCGAAGGGACCTCAATACGACGGTCAAAGGTCACTCTCCTATTTAGTCTGACCTGCAGTGTTGATTTCTCCATGCTCAGTCCCTACAGACCCTACAATAAGCCTGCTTTTCTAGCACTAATTCCTCCTTCTTTCACATCTCTCAAGCCCTTTGTGACATTTTTCAGACCGTTGCAACCCCATTCTAGCAGTCACAACTGGGGAAAGTATGAGAATTCCAGGTTCAACTCCGACGCTTTCGGTTATATATAGAAAATGCAGTCACGCGAAACAAGAGGCGCACACGAAATCAAGTCGCCTCGGAATGAGTGAAGAAAATTTCCGTACGAAGTTGAGTAGAATTCCATTTTACGACTATATCATATATCCTAAGCTTTAATTATAGTTATCGCTGTGGCTATATGGCCAGTAACCGGTCAAGGTTTTCAAAACACTAAATGACCGGCAGTCCGGTATTTTCAATAAATTTGACGTAACTAAGAATCCCAACCAATCCAAACTATCACGATATGTCGATTAACAAAAGTCAAGCGATCCTGAAATGCTTTATAGATCTCAAGTCTAGCCTTTGGTTTACGCTGGGCTCAGAAAACGAAACCATGTTTTGTGACACTTAGAACTTTTTTCAGGTTGACTGCCGGTCAAGGTTTTTAAAACACTAAATGACTGGCAGTCCTATATTCTCAATAAATTTGACAAATCGACAAAATCCATCTAATCTAAACTATCAAATGTCGATAAAGAAAACTCAAGCGATCCTGAGACACTTTATATATCTGAAGTTTAGCGTTTGGTTTACGCGGTGCTCAGAAAACGAAACCATGTTTTGTGACACTTAAGAACTTTTTTCAGGTCGACTGCCGGTCAAGATTGTTAAAACACTGAATGACCGGCAGTTTACCCTGCTAGCAGAGTCGCTTCGATCGTTCCTAGATAAGTCGAGAAAGAGGAAAGAGGCAAGCGGAAAGAGGAAAGAGGAAGGAGGAAGGAGGAAAGAGTAAAGAGGAAAGAGGAAAGAGGAAAGAGGAAAGAGGAAAGAGGAAAGAGGAAAGAGGAAAGAGGAAAGAGGAAAGAGGAAAGAGGAAAGAGGAAGGAGGAAGGAGGAAAGAGGAAAGAGGAAAGCGGAAAGAGGACAGAGGAAAGCGGAAAGAGGAAAGAGGAAGCTGAGAAAAGCTCCAAGTGTCATTAAACATGGTTTCGTTTTCTGAGCCCAGCGTAAATCAAACGCTAGACTTGAGATCTGTAAAGCATTTCAGGATCGCTTGACTTTTCTTAATCGACATATGATAGTTTGGATTGGTAGGGATTCTTAGATAAGATTCTTAGATAAGTCGAGTTTATTTATTTCTTAGATAAGTCGAAAATTAATTTAGTGAAAATACCAGACTGCCGGTCATATAGCCACAGCGTTTCAAAATACTAAATGACCGGCAGTCCTGTCTTTTCAGTAAATTTCACTAATCGAAAAAATCTAGCTTAACCAAACTATCATATGTCCAGTAAGAAAAGTCAAGCGATCCTGAAATGCTTAATAGATCTCAAGAATAGCGTTTGGTTCACGCTGGGCTCAGAAGACAAAACTAGGGTTCGTGACACTTAGAACTTTTTTCAGCTCGACTGCCGGTCAAGGCTTTCAAACTGGCTCTAAATGACGGCAGTCCCATATTCTCCATAAATTTCACAAATCGAAACAATCCAGCTAAACCAAACTATCATATGTCGATTAAGAAAAGTGCAGCGAAATGTACTGAATATAGGACTGCCGGCCATTTAGTGTTTTGAAAACCTTGACCGGCAGTCGAGCTGAAAAAAGTTGTATTAAAGTGTCACAAAACATGGTTTCGTCTTCTGAGCCCAGCGCAAACCAAACACTAGACTTAAGACTCTATAAGGCATTTCAGGATCGCTTGACTTGTCTTAATCGACGTATGATAGTTCAGATTAGCTAGAATCTTTCGATTTTGTGAAATTCACCGAGAATATGGCAGGGGCACCCAACGACAATTTTCGGAAAAATATCTGTTCGGAAGACGATTTGAGATCTAGAATTTTCGAAATATTTGTTGTAAAATTTCTTGCTTGCCTGCCTCTCCTAGGATTTTCGAACATCTAAAAAATGGTAAAATTGCCCATTTTCAGCGGATTTTTACCCTAAAAAGGTCACCTAAAATTTTCGGGAGCCTTTTTTCTGGCTGAAATTTTCGAACGGGTAAGTTTTGATCCATATAATTTTCGGATCACTAGACTTTCAGCTAGGAAATCCGAACAGATGAAAAATTTATAGGGGATAAAAATATGCACATATCGACTGTTTAAGAGGCCCTGACTGTAAAAATCGAGAATCCGCCGACAGTTGCAAAATTTCATAATTTATTTTATTCTGCCTAAAAGACCCTTTTGGTGAACTATTTTCAAAAATGGAAATAAAAAGTTCCATCGCGCTTTGCTTTTTCCGAAAAATCCAAAAGTTCAAATTACGCTGAGGCGGCCCCCGACCCCCCGGAAAAACAATGAAAAATTCTGCAACTTCGCTAACTCCGTACGCGACAACGCGTTGAATTCCCGGTTTGCTATTTTGGATATTGGTAAAAGAACCCTTTGTCTTTTAAAAAATGTAAACTTCATGTAATTTTGTCAAGTTTAAGACAACATAAAAACCCGTTGAAATAACCCACTTTCAATCTTTTGGGTTGAGGTGAAATAAAGGCCAACTTTAAAGGCCTATAAAAATCCTAGTATATAAATTTACGTGTCATACTGTACATCAGGTGAAAGCTTTATCCTTGTAGGTCATTATCTCCAACTGACGTTTTTGGCCCGCAAAAATTAGCGCATCCAGTTTGAAAATAGTTCGGGTTATTTTGACCAAAAATTCAATGCAAATTGCTGAGCGGATGTCACGCAAGAGGTCACGGCCAATCCTTCAGTTTGCAAATAATGCATCTTTTTTCTCTCCTGATTGAAAATGTCAGCAAAGAGCGCCTTGAAGTACTTCAATAACCTTTCATTATATTTAACGATCATACAAGCACGCCACACATCATTTTATTAATCTTAGATCTAAACGAAGATAACGGTCGTCGATCGCGTTGATGCGTAGTCCAATAAATTGACATAAAATTTTATTCACATACACAACGAAACGTATTACAAAGTTGAAGAGAATAGGGTAGATGGTTGTTACTCTTGTTTTAGAATAACGCGATGTAATCCCAGGAGCTCCCTATCTTACTCAATTTTCACAGAACAGACTGACAAAACAAATGATCAATGAAGATGTGTGTCCTTGCAGTTCTTGCTTACCGTAATTCGTTCATAAATGATATAGTCAATCACTCAAATATTTTTCTTGCCTGTAGAAAAAAAAAAGGAAAAAAAAAAGAAACCAATCAAGAGTAAAAGAAAAACTTACGACCTTTTTCACTAAAAAACCGCATTCCAAAACGAATGTCACGCAAAAGAGTTGCACATTCCATGACATTCTGACAACATCATTGTCTAGTTGTTGTAAGGTTCTTTCTTTTTTTCAACGTTTTCAGCAGGATTTTTCGTTTGAGAATTCTCTTTTAACCATGAACAACACTGTTACGAAACGGCACTAGTACCATGCATTGCGTCGAGTAAAATATTTAATACAAACATGTCAAATCTGATTTGTGTTATAACATCACGTGACGTAACCGTCCTACAGAGTTGGCTGGAGAACAGTAATTGACCGGATGGATGTTCAGTTCCAACAAAGACTACAGGACATATTTAAGTCCTCCACAGCTAAAGGGGACTGTGGAATTAGTAGCAATGAGTCAACTTTCGTCTTATCAACCATCGAAACCCTTTCTTCTATTTGGGCATGGTAGTAAACCCCTTTCAAAGTATACCCGGGTACATCGGCTCTGGGATACCCGAGACGAAGGACTTTTTTGAAAATTTTGGATAACCCGGACAGACTTTAAGCGACTGAAGTGATCCAAAAGAATTGCTATCAATCGATCATACTTGTCACTTGAAAAACCGAAAGGCCCCGAAATACATATTCATGACAAAAGGATATTGAAGATAAAATTGTGTTGATCACTGACAGATATCGGCCGGGTATTGGGGTTTGCGTAAAAACTCAGAATAGAGGCGTAGAAAGGAGGTAGCTTAGCGTACTTGGCCGTACCCTTCCCCCAGGGGAAAAAAACGAAAAAGGCGGAGGGTACAGCTACACCTTGGCAAAGGGTAGGCTCAAGCGAGCTATTCTCTTCCAGCGGTGACCGATGCGAGCCAGCAAAGAGCGCTAAACCGACGCGACCGCACCCCAATGATTTCGCGTTTCTCTTTCTGGTGCCCCTCGCCTCTCTCCTCCGCAGAGGCTCCCGCTTTATATTCCAGTAATACTAGCAGTAATTGAAAAGAAAAAAATGGTAAGAGTGTTGTGAACGTTCGTTCCATCGTCTCTCGCCCGCATTTCGTGCCTCTAGGACACAAACATGCTTCTGCCGGAGGAGACAGGCGAGTGAGCACCAGAAAGAGACGCGAGATGGCCGGGACGGGGTTGCCCTAGCCTGCCACTTATGCGCTCTGTCTTGGCTCGCGTGCGTTGCTCTTCGCTCGAAGAGGTAGCTTGCTCGATGCTATCTCATCCTATTGCTTGGAAATGAAGTTCTGGGGGTGGATAGAAAACGACCACATCAGCCCTACTGACCCAAAAACGAAAATCAACTCGAAACGGCTATCCTGATCTTACTGATCTACAAATGTAGGGAACATCAAGATCTTCAATTATCAATGAATCTGATCAATTTCTTCATTTTCTTCAAAACCCCACCTAAAGTAAAAAAGGAAGACCCCGTCAAAATCCCTTTCAAATCGCTGGAAGCTCGCATGAAATGGGACTCTCGACTGAAGCAAAAGCAAGATACAACAAGGTATGCAATTAACAAGAAAAATAGACACAATTCACATGTTGCCAGGGTCCCTGCCTCCAGTTCCGTAAAAGGGGCTGTAAGATATATCTTTGGAGTCTCTATTCTCCCACTTTTATCACGGTCTATCTTTATGTTAAAAAAAACCGTTTACAAAGGCACAAACACAATTTACATGTTGTCACACATATATCAAGTTAGTGCTTTTTAGAAGCGGGCGTTCGTTTTTTTCGGTGCTTTTTTTAATATTATTATTATTAGAAGACGAAGACCCGCAAAACGTTCGTAGCGGGCGGCGAGGAAAGAAGAAATGGCTGTCATTCAGATTCATTGATAATTGGAGATCTTACACGTATCATGCCGTTTAGAGCTGAGTCCAAGTAACTTTGACTTTTACTTTCGGTGGGGTCTTGTAGAAAATCGGAAAGCCTGGTCAAATTCATTGACCAATACTAGAATCTTTTTTTTCTTGTTCGTCTCGGGTCGAGATAGCCATTTCGAGATGTTTTCAGGACCGGATTTTGAGGAGAGTTACCCGAACATCTGGTCCTTGCTGTTCTGCAGACAAATCCGTTCTCTTTGGTTGCGTCACGTGAAGTTATATTATCACGCAAATCAAATTTGACATGTTTGTAATAATTTACTCGACGCGATGGTACAAGTGCCTTATGGTAACTGTTTTTCATGGTTCAAAAAGAATTCTCAAACCTTGAGAGAAGAAAGAACCTTACAACAGCCCATGGTGAACAACGAGACGATAATGTTGTCAGAAAGGGCTACTCCTTTGCGTGACATTCGTTTTGGAATACGGTTTTCGGTGAAAAACGTCGTGAGTTTTTCTTTTAGTCTCTTTTTCTTCATTTCTTTTCTTCTACAGGCAAGAAAACGACGTAAGCAATTGGCATTATCAGCAGTTTAAAATGTATGAAAGAATTACGGTAAGCAAAAACTGTAAGGACGCACATCTCCATTGATCATTTTGTTTTGTGAGTCTGTTTTGTTGACCTTTTCGGTGAAAAATTGAGTAAGATAGGGAGCTCCTGGGACTACATCGCGTTATTCTAAAACAAGAGTAACAACAGTAAGTCTACCCTATTCTCCTCAACTTTGTAATAAGTTTCGTTGTGTATGTGAATCAATTTATGTCAATTTATTGGACTACGCATCAACGCGATCGACGACCGTTATCGTTCCGTTAGATCTAGGATTTATAAAATGATGTGTGGCGTGCTTGTATGGTCGTTAAATATAATGAAAGGTCATTAAAGTACTTCAAGGCGCTCTTTGCTGACATTTTCAACTAGAAGAGAAAAAAGATGCATTATTATATCTGCCAACTCTCACGCCTGCGGGTTGAAAACTTCGATCTCACGCCGGCTCACGCTTGCGGGCCAATTTCTCACGCCTGATTGAAAAATGTGAGTTGTTGCCGTCTTGCTTGACATAATTTCCAAAAATATGTTAACTCAGACCCATGTAAGGAATGAAAACCATGTGTAAAATGAATAAATGACAATATCTTCCTCGCGATCGAACTATAGCGCTGATGTTATCAACTAACGTCGGTCCTTGTGGATAAGCGTTTTCTCGATAACTTCGAATTCGGCAGACTTCGGACGTCTTCGGAAGATTTCGGACTTCTTCGGGGATCTTCGGAAATGATCGTGTCGTCTTCAAAAGTCCCAGCACTCCCAGGATAAAAAATCTCACGCTTATATCTCAGAAAAAGTTGGCAGGTATAGACCGAATGCAAATATGGCGGATCTCTCGGTCGGCCCGGGTCTAGTTGCGCGAAAGCGAGGCTAGTGAGGCCTCGATAGTTTTGTTTTGACTGCGCGTCTTAGCGATTCAGTCGATGAATATGGTTTCCTTTGAGTTGTTACGTGCTTAAGAGCCATCAAATAGGAGATTTAACTCCAGCAGAGACGAAAGTTGATTATCTTCGCTTCGCCAAAGTTCTTTACGAAGAAAGAAATGGATTCAAGCGATTCGGCGCGGCGAATGGAGGCACTCTACTATCACGGAGTTATTTTTTAAAAGAACGAAAGTGCTCGCTTCACTTAAGAAGAGAAGACTCACGAACCTATTAGAATGGGTGAATAACTGAAAGATTCATGGTTCTGCTTCAAGTTTGCTTTGTCCGTTTTCTTACCAAGGAAAGGTAAATATCCTCGAGAACGAGTGAATCCGCCGTCGCGACTTACCAATCTTTAGGCGCTCTCAGGGACACAACGGCAAACAAGGGCGAATGTTTTTTCACAGTCTTCACGATCCTGTGTTCAAGAGTTTGAGCAGTGCCATAAAGGAAGCAATTTTTGGAAAATCGCTGTTAGTTTATCTCGAAACCACTCGACAAGTTGCTAAAATAGATCACGCGCAAGGTCAAATACAATGCTCGAATACTTGCACGCTCTTTTTCTTCCAGAACCTTTTTTCTTCTTCTTACTTTCTTAGTTAGCAACGGTTCCTCCGTTAGTTTTTTCAGTGCATTTTGTTCAAGGACTGTTCTTGAAATATGTCGCTTTCTTCTGGTTCTTACATAGTTTCACAGGCCACGCTTGTAGGATTAACAGGCGATTGTTATTGTTGTTGTTATATTTCAATGCAGCTGTTTTCAGCGTGAAATCTAAAAGATCTTACGGTCGACCGCGGATGCTCCCATTCTCGAAAATGTTTACTTTTTGTTGGATAAATAACAGACCATGCAAACATCTTGGAACAGCACCATCTCTTTTGAAAATTATTTCATTCAAATACTTTCGTGAGTCATCTCATCTAAAGCAAGTGAGCGAGCACAGTTTCGCTGTAAAGTGCTTCCCATCGCCGCGCCGAATCGCATGAATCCTTAAGTTTCTTTGTGAAAAGATCTCGGGAAAGTAAAGGCTATTCCAGCTAGAGGAAAATCTTCTTTTTGCTGGCCTCAGGCATGCAACAACTCGATGCAAACCATATCGATCGACTCAATCGCTAAGACGAGCAGTCAAAACAAAACTCTCGAGGCCTAACTAGCCTCGCTTTCGCGCAACTAGACCCGGGCCGACCGAGAGGTCCGCCATATTTGCATTCGGTGCAAACTGAAAGATTGGCCGTGACCTCTTGCGTGACATCCGCTCAGCAATTTGCATTGGATTTTTGGTCAAAATAGCCCGAACTATTTTCAAACTGGATGCGCTAATTTTTGCGGGCCAAAAACGTCAGTTGGAGATAATGACCTACAAGGATAAAGCTTTCACCTGATGTACAATATGACACGTAAATTTATATACTAGGATTTTTATAGGCCTTTAAAGTTGGCCTTTATTTCACCTCAACCCAAAAGATTGAAAGTGGGTTATTTCAACGGGTTTTTATGTTGTCTTAAACTTGACAAAATTACATGAAGTTTACATTTTTTAAAAGACAAAGGGTTCTTTTACCAATATCCAAAATAGCAAACCGGGAATTCAACGCGTTGTCGCGTACGGAGTTAGCGAAGTTGCAGAATTTTTCATTGTTTTTCCGGGGGGTCGGGGGCCGCCTCAGCGTAATTTGAACTTTTGGATTTTTCGGAAAAAGCAAAGCGCGATGGAACTTTTTATTTCCATTTTTGAAAATAGTTCACCAAAAGGGTCTTTCAGGCAGAATAAAATAAATTATGAAATTTTGCAACTGTCGGCGGATTCTCGATTTTTACAGTCAGGGCCTCTTAAATACTAAAACACGTTTAACAATGCTATGTTTAAGTAATTTTGAACTATATTCTCGTTGGGTGCCCGTGATATGGGACTGCCGGTCATTTAGTATTTTTAACACCTTGACCGGTTACCGGCCATATAGCCACAGCGTATAGAGTATAGATATGAAATAAATCTTATCCGGATAATGTACACGGCTAATTCATCGATTCTGTACAGCAAAGAAAAAACTGTCCGGATACTGGGCACCTGACATCAATACTGGGCTCCGTTATTCCAAACAAATCGAATTTCCAGAAGAATTAATAAACTTTCTGAGAACCTGACTTCTTTAAGTATCTTCACGTTAAATATAAAACCGTTTCTTTGAAAATATGACATATTACCAACCTTTTTGTGAGCAGCACTAATTTTACTGCGCAGTATATTAGCCATGAAATGTTTATTCACCTGAACAGAACGGCGTCTTCTGCGACTGTTTTGCAAGCTTTCAACTCGCCAAAACCTTCATCTTAAAGCCGAAATGTTCAGCTTTCATTCGAAATACTTCGTTTACCGATAACTGAAAAGGGCGCCTCAAAAATTAAGTTTTTGTTTGAAGTGTCCGGATACAGGTACCGTCCGGATACTGGGCAACATACTGGGCGCTTTCCATTTAGTCAAAATTTCCGGAATTTCCGGTTCGGCGGTAAATGGAACACGTTTCGTCGGTTCGTCCCACTGGAAAATTCCCAGAAAAAGTGGAAAATCTAAAAAGGTGGTCCCGTTTTCCCGGTTGGAATTTCCGAACGGAATGTCGTGTTCCATTGACGTTTCTTGTAGTTTGTACCAGTTCCAGGTCCACGGTCGGGCACTCGGCCACGTACCGGGGTTTACGACCAAATGGAACAACTTTTTACCGATCGGAAATTCCACTTTTGCTACCACCGAAATTTCCGGGTTTTTTTCGTAAATGGAAAGCGCCCACTGTAGTCAAAATGCCGCGCGTATCAAACGCTTTTGACAGCTGTTTTGAAGATTACACATCGTTATAAAGCCATTAAATAAAAAATAAACATAACAAATTCTTTATTACGTTGAAGCGTATTAGGGTCAAGTCGCACTAGAGGGCAATTTTACATTTGTTCTGGACAAATTCGACTTGAAATCGGCCAGTGACAAAAAATTTGTCCGGAAAGCTACAGTCGCACTTAAGAACAAAATCTGAACAAAACACAACACCATGCTGTGAGCGCCTTGTGATTTCAGCCCACAGTTCAACTAAAAGCTTCTCCTCTTCTTTACTCCATCTGTCCTGAGCCTTCTTGTTCTCGGCTGACGAAGATGCACGACGCGAAGAAGATGGGGTTGATGCCGGCATTGAGCTATCTTCGCTGAACTGGAGGGATTCTGGCAACGAGTCAGTACTTGTGGTCTAAGGAAATGGGCTGGGATTTCCTCGATCATTAAACATGTAGGGGCCTGCCAAAGGATAGATCCATCCTGGTGGATATTGTGGATATTCGTACGGAAAAAATTGGTCGCCCGCGCCTGGATTCATGTTGTTGCGAAATGTGAACGTGATTAATTTTACAACGAAGTTTATAGCATAGAGACTCTGCTACATATCACCTGTCAAATCATTTCCGAATTAAAACACACTCGCTATTGTTTTCCAAAATTCGTCTCAATTTGGCCTGCTCCAGAGGTAGTCGACGGCATCTTTGAAGTTTGTCCGTCTGCGACCAAATTTTGTCCTTTGGTGAACAAACCGGTCGCACTTGGTTTTTCATTGTGATGACAGATTTTGACATAAATAAACAGTTTTGTCCTCTAGTGCGACTTGGCCCTAACTTTATTAAGGGACGGACCATTAGAAAAGTTATGGGGGGGGAGGGGAATTTTTGAGCCGCAGGAATTTTTTTTCGTTATCAAATTCCTTGTATGAATTTTTTTTAGGCCTTAGCATGAATATTTTTTAGGGTTAATTGGCGTGCATGAATTTTTTTTCATTCAATTTTGCCTTGCGCGAATATTTTTTTTGTACTTCGCCCGCCCCCCCCCCATAAGTTTTCTAATGGTCCGTCCCTAATCTTAATTTAAACATTCGACTTTGGCGCTTGTCAAAAGTGAGAACCGGCTAGCCGTATAGGTGATTTTGGAAATTTTTTTAACGGTTTCGCTAAAAGCACAGGCGTGCTTGGATCGTCCTGAATATTGAATGAGTGCAGTTTCTTCTGCAAAATTATGAAATACTGCATTCTGTCCGAGGTCTGTATGATAAAAACAGCGCCTCATGGTACTGTTTCACCTCAGATGTGATGTATAAAAAGTATAAAAGATTGCATGGTTTACACGTCTCAGACTTGTTGACAAGATTTTGTAAAGTAAACTTGTCGAACGCAAAAAATTCGGCCTGATTTGTTTTCCAGGCCTAATCTACTGTGATCAAGAGCCATTATGGCTCTTAAATGTGATCGAAGATGATTGCTTTCTTTTAGGTGTACATATAAGGCTATCAACTCGATCTAAGATTAAGTTCACTCTGCTTAGATGGACTGTTTGCAAATTATTTTTCTCTAAAATCACTTAGCCTTTCCCTCAAAAGTCACATGAATGTGCTCTAAAGTTCACTGATTTTTGGAATACAAGTTTATTGTTTGATTTAAATTGTCAATTCGAGTTAATAGGAGCTTCGCTTTTAGCCCTGGCTAAATCTATATATTAGGATTATATAAGAGTAGAAAATATTGATACAGCGTTAAGCACTCCTTTGAAAATTTTGTTCCGTCTTCCATTTCCGGCACAATTTTTTTTGTTGATGCAAAAAAGTTGCTTTAGTAAAAAGGAAAATATTACTGAGCAGGGGTGCCCCTGGCTAAGTCGACCGGGAGCGAAATGACCGGTGGCCAAAGTGTCTATTTTAAAAATTTAGTTTCAAAAGCAAATTTTTGATGATAAATTTACTCTGCTATATGAATCTGACACTCTACCACTAATACATTTTACTAATGGCAACATTTTGCATTGTGTTTGTTATTAAATATTAATCAATATCAAATTGTCACCATAAAAACACTGTTTAAGACGAATTCCGTTATCGGGGACACCCCTTACTACTCGTGAACGCGTCAACCATTTTGGGAAAAAAGGTTCAAGATACTCACTACCGCCGCCACGACTCGGCGTAGAAACTGGTGAGAATTCGTTTTGTTCCTTTAATTTTATCGTTGCTATTTTTAATGGTTCGATTTTTCAACGGTTCTTTTCTAAGCCGATCGTAGGGGTATTTTGTTGGAGTTTTCTCCAGTGTATTTACTTCATGGTTTGCCCGGTATAGCCTTTTTCCGTTAGTTTTGTAAAGTGTAAGGCCTCCTTTCTTGTTGCATCCCCAGCTAGTTTACGAAAGTATTCCAGTTTCGCGATCGTAAAAACTATAAATGGAGAAAAGTCTGAAAAAAGAATTAAAAAAACAAGGGAAAAAATGTACAATGAAAAGAAAACTATTTTAAAAGGGGCAAGAGGAGAAAAAATAATCGAGTGACGTTGGCATATGACAAAGATAATAACAAGAAATTCATTAGGAAACTGAGTAATTTTAAATTTTAGTGGACAAAAACCTTACCCTTGTACCAGAGTATTTTAAGCCCGAGTAATAAATGTAATAAGTTATATGAAATAACTTCAAAGAAAAGATTCTCATGGGAGCAAGAGAAAATAGATTTCAAATTTCATAGGAATTGAGAAAACGCAGCTAAAATCGTCATGCATAAGATTTCATTAAATGGCTTCCATATACATTTACTATGCACCGAACTGCATTTGCAGTTAGAATTTTTTTAATTCCGCAGTTCATTTTTCATATATGTATAAGGAACATTAAGCCTCCGTCTCAGACTGCTTCGCCGGGCTTAATTGTTATATCATCTTCTCCCAAGAACGACGTTCGCAAGGGAGGAAGCTAGTCGTGACGAAGCGCTTAGAACGACTGAGCAGAGGGCATGGAACATTTAATTATTACCTTTCAAATTCCACTTTCATTCTTTATCGAGTCTTTTCGACTCTTTGCGCGCGAAGGCATCTGCGTGGATACTTGAAAACAAAAAAAGCATTTCTTTGACTGAAAAATTAATGTCTAGATGAAGGACTGTTTTTATTTAAGCCTCATAAAATAATAAAGCGCCAATTTCAGAAAAGAGTGACAATATAGTTTTGAAAGTCTTCGCCCTTCGAGGGCCACATTTTGATGTTTTATTTTAAGCTGGGCGCTTAGTGCAGAAAACTGTCGGTTCATAAGCCAAAAATAATCCACAAAATTCTAAAAATGAGCCTATTTAAAATTCCAGTTCACAACTTTCCTGTTTGTACTTTTTTTTTTTTGTATTTTAATACATTTTCTGAAGGGTATAATTGTAAGAGGATCGAGCATTAAACGATATTTCTTATGGTGAAATGATGGTCTGTTGCGGGGATTACGCTGGATTTGGAAATCGGTTTTGGCAAGATGAGGAGCTCTAAAACTGTCTTTTTTTATTAAATATTTATATACATAAATAACTGATTATTTGGTAGTGTCTCTGTGAAAGGAATTTTTAAAGGCGGCCATTTGAAAAATTTTAAGTTCATTTTAATTGGCCATATGCATGTCGTTGGTTAAATTACCCTCCAGCTTACATCTGAATTTAGCGACATGTCGTGGGCTGATGACATTTACGTTCTAGCTTCCATTAGCGGGCCGTGGGCCGAGTAACTATGCCATTTAACAGTATCGGTAACAGAATTAAAACTTGATGTGTGACTTTCCTATCGAATCTAAATTATTGCATGAGTACTGTTTTCTAGAAGTATTTTAAAGCGGAAGAGGAATTCGGCGCTTGATGGGCAAAACCTTGCACGCTACTGCGAAAATTGCAACTCTGTGGAAATGAACTTGTAAAACTCTAGTCTCAGAAACGTGCATGGTAACAGAACTCTCATCTGAATGCAATTGATTTCCTTTTTGACTCTTCTTGTCAAGGTTTCTTTTGTTTTCGCTTTCGCCAACCAAGATTAATAATTATCACACCGAAAAAACATTAGCTTAAGTTTCTAAATAATACGGAGTTAAGGTGTTTCGATATAGTTTTTCAGAGGCCATACCGATATTTTTCAATCGCTTTAAAAGTGATTTTATCCTTGTCTGATCGCTATAAAATTTTCACCAATGATTGACTAAAGATTGAAATTGGTCAAAATGTAGGCTTGAGTAAAATCGACATTACTATGACAAAAACATACAAAATACTATGAAACTGATACACGCCTAATTTCGCGCGATCCAGACCAGCTACTGAAAATCCAACACTAGGAACTTAAAGTTTCGTGTTTGACAAATGACCTCCGTAAGAAGTAAAAAATTCTGTATGTTTGAATTCGACTAAAACGAAACATATTTCAAACCTTAAATTTTCAGTAGCCGTGATAGATTATGTAATCTGCTGATTGATTCTTAAGTAGTGTCAGAATGCTGCTTAATATCATATTTCGATGCTAGGAAATTTTGTCGTATTTCGTTCTTTTTGACGTTATGTTAATTTTTCCAAATTAATGCGGACACCAACGCCTGTATAGACCAGGATCGGACATTTGCAACTCTCCGCTAATGCATCACATTTTTTGAAACATTTGTAACCCTTTTCGAGATACTAAGACTACGGTCTGTAAAAGACGTCAACAAACGACGACAAATTTTTCGGTTTCTTTCCCACTTTCCCATTTTCGATGTGGTTTTTGTTTTGTTTTGTTATTGTTTTAATTAGCTAGAAAAATGACGCAAATTCACTTCATGTTGTCGCCGTCGTGGTTGTTAATTTGTCTATTAGAAGCTCCTGATGGTATTATATGCCGTTTTTTGGTTAGGTTTTGTCACAGGTGCCTCAGAGATTAATTGGGAAGGCTTACACACTCTAAGCAAGAAAGAAAAAACAAACCGATCAATGAGCCAAAATTAAAGAAAACGCAAACAAATTAAAGTGTGAGGAAAGCTTAAAATTTTCTTTTAATGCTGTAACTTTAAAAAATGCCTCATTTATTTTAAGTCAATTTCAAAATAATGTTTTAAATGCAACAGAATCCAGGAGCTTCCGATATTTTTCGTAGCTTATGGCGCAATAATTTGCCTGGTATGAAGGTCTCAATGGGGTTTACCGTCAGCCGTCAAACGGCCTAACAGTTCACCGTCAACCGTCAAAAATGCAGGTTAAGATTAACCGTCAAAAAGTTTCAAAGTGTTTCAAATCTCACAATTTCTGCTGATCTTCACGGAATTCCAACTCCTAAAGAATTTCTAAACTGGGAAAACCAGTTCTGCATGCTCAAAATCACTCTTTCTAGATAGTACTGTAGAAATAGCGACCTGATTTTGCAGGGCGCTATGATTCACGCTCGATCCACGCTGCACGTGCAAACATTTATAAATCTTGGCGGGACGAGGTCAAGCCTCTCTTTCCGAGAAATGACAGGAATAAAAGCCTGTTTCTAAGTGTGAGTCTCATTTTTTGTGACGCAGTGACTACTTGACATACAAGCAGTTCATGTGGCTTTAATTTCAGCTCTAAGCATGGGTTCAAGTTGTTCAATCCTGAACGATACTTCACACGACGTATGGATCACTCACGGAATCAACTGGACTGTTCTCCTGGCAACAGTTGGTGGCGTCGGTGTGTTGGCTACTGGAGGAGCTGCTCTCGCAGCAGCCGGTGCTGCCGCAGGAGTTGGAGGTGCGCTTCTCGGTGGAGGAGCAATGATCATGGCCGAGGGAGGTATTATCATGGGAATAGCACCAGCCACAATAGCCGGTTTGACTGCCACTGGATGGACGGTAGTGGGCGCAGTCACTAACTTAGCCACCGGAACTCTGGCTTTGACTTTGAACATCACAAAACCACAAGCAGAAGCACTTAAAGCTAAAGTAACGGAGTTCCAGGAAAACTCAGAGCTAATCAGGCCTGGTGAGAAGTACACATGGACAGGCACTTTGTCTTTAACAAAGACAGTGTATGTCATGAATGACAAGCTTCAGAGTGATAACTTAGCTTGTTTCACGGGTCCAACAGCTGGTTCTGAGAATGTGTATCCAATATCAGAATACTTTAAAAATTTAGATGTCAAGTAAAGACCCCACGACATGAACGATATTACTTTTGTAAGCACGGCTTCATGGAAAATTTTAAAACTATAACCAGTCATTTTTATTAACAGTTACTGTTCTGTTGCCCTTTACAAACGTTTGTATGGTAGACATTTATTGTTTCTATTAGGAACGTTTTTTAAACAGGATTTTTTTAAATCATTTTATTTTCATACACTTGTGAGGTGGCTTTATTCGATATGTACTATTTCCAATGACAGTTGTATTAATAGTGAGGCGCACCATTTTTTTACTGCACAATGACGGTGATAAAGAAACAGTAATGGGAAAAAAAAGTCAGAAGCTCTAAAGTTTTTACATCAAGTCCGGATATGACGAACTGAACTCCTTTCGTTGTGAATAGGTTTACGAGGTTGTAAGCAGTACAATAAATATTCTTAGTTTTAAGTCTTGAGATAAGCTTGCACAATAAAGAATTTGTGTCTGTGTGTTTATTGGGGCGAGTGGCTTAAGCTTTTGTTGTTCCTTCTTTCTAGATCAGTCCGGCGTAACTTCAGAATTCCGACTCTACAAACCTTGGTCTTGTCTACTTATAACTATAAGGTAGAGCCCTGGTAATGGCGGAGAGTCGCGAGTACAGAGTAGCTACAGAGTCGAGACTAACACTGGAGATAGTAATCTATAGTTAGTCGATGAACTAAAGGTAGATTTTAGGCGCAAAAATCACAAATAGGGCGATGTAAAAAGCTGGTTTTAGCCACATGCACTGCTGGATAGCTTAAGTTTCAGGTGTTCGTAGTGAAAGAGGCATTGTACGAAGGGTCGAGCGAAAACGTAACCCTCAAGTGACCTTTATATGCCTCTTTTTTATTTGCGCACTATTTCGTTTTTTTCTTTTTTCTTTTTACGAACGCCCAAAACTAGCTTGCGGAGTGCTTATCCAGAAGTGCATGTGGCTAAAACCGGCTTTTGTTAGTTCCCGAATTTTCAAAGTTCCAGACCTCGAATGTAAATTTTTGAGGGGAAGTAGACTGATTAGTGCGAAATGTAGGGAGTTTCGAAAAAGAGAGGCCCTGTTCGAATAATCAAGGGTTAAATTACAGTGTCTTAAAGAAGCAGTCCTTTAGCTAGGGGAAACGACTTTTAGTCCAAAAAATCGGGAGTTTCTAAAAAAATGAGTATTGGAAAAATCGGGATTCCACATCTGGGTTCGCAGGTTATGGCAGAGCGAGCTCTGAAAGGCTCTGATCATATTGTACGCTAGCCCTGTCGCCCGCTGCATACCTTGTTGCCACAGTTGTCGTAGCCTGCATAACAGGCGATATTTTTTTTCGCAGAACGAAGGCAAGCGTGAAGCGACGAGGAGCGGCGTGTGTCTGACGCTCCTAGGCTTGTTTGCCTTTGCCTTCGCTCTCCTGAAGAACAGGAAAAAAAATTACGCCTGTAACAATCTACACGAAAAAATTACTCAATTCTGATTGGCTGAGAAAGGAGTGCAGTCCTTCTGTAACACGAGTGCAAACTTGTAACACGAGTGCAAAACTTGTAACACGAGTACAAATTACAAATGGTTTCTGATTGGCTGAAAACACAAAAGAAACCACCAAGAACCAATTAGATTAGAGCTTTTTTCACGACAAAATTCAAGAAAATGGCCATGGTTTTCAGCAGACGACGACGGGATTTAATTCTGTACGCAAAACAGCAATATAAAAGTTAAAAAAAATATTCCAAAAACCCGAACACAGTAAAAAGTATGCGTCTTACTGGCTAAATGTATTGACAATACGGTGCTAAAAGAAAAATACTGTCAACAAATCGAGGAAAATGAGCCAGAGAAACTAAAAAACAAGCTACTTATAGGTCTAACAGACTACGCTAAAGTAAAAAAGTAAACAAAAATGGTTGCAACAACAAGCAAACCATGACGGCTACACTTTTCAGCCATTTAAATGAACAAGAATACAAGTTTTCCATGATAACAACAGGGATTTCAAGTCACGTACGTTATTTGTTGGAGGAGAAAGGTGACCGGTTGCTCTCTTTGAGTCTTTTGTGGAGCGAAGAACATCCATGCGATGGTCTGTTTTTTTTTTCTTCCTCATTAGCAAACGAAACCGAAAATTTAAACATCTGGTCCAAACTAAACCAATTGGCGAAAATACCATAACTAACATAATGAAAGTATCCATAGCTGGTACTAACCTTAAAGAAAGTGAGAAAAAAGTTTACGAATCATTGTGCAAGAAAAACAACAGTCAGGAAGTTGAAGAAAGCAAAGATTGTAAGTTCAGAACATATCGCCAGTGTCACAGTCCAGAGGTATAAATTTCCTTAACGACTACGATGAAGCCGACGAAGAAGAGCTATGAGTCTTGCAGTAGGCCAAATGAAATAATGAAAACCCCAGCACTTAGAAAAAGCAAATATTATATTAATACTGGCAGTTTCCGACATCACAACAACTGTGGCTCCACTCACCCATCGATGGCAGCATCAGAAGAAAACAAATTTCCTCCTTCATTTTCGGGTTTCAAATCTCAAAAATTTCTCCATGAATCCAGGTATGATGGGGTCTCAAGAACAGACAATGATGAACAGTTGTTAAAAAACCTTAGCATTAGCGTCTTTCATCTTTGGCTGCTCGAAGCGTTCTCCTGATTTCAAAACTTGAAAAGTCACAATCTCATAATCGAGGATGAAAATAAAACACATGCTTTTGCTGATTATTGTAAACTGAGTTACCTTTAACGGGCTGGTGACCATATAAAATCAATCCTTGCTCATTTCAAAGTTCAGCGTTGGTCTTGAAAAAGTTTGAATTTGACAAAGGTAGCAGTCTGTTTCAGCCAATCAGTTGAATGAACTAAAAACGCACGCGCTGTCAAAATTTGTTGCTGTAGTTATATTTTTCGTGTATATTATTAATAAGTAATGACATGATTTCCAGTGCAATTTGGAATAAATAAGCAGGAGTAAATTTTCAAAGATCAAAAAAGTGCACGAGCCTGTACCATTTATCTCTTGAGGGGAGGGGTGGGTGATTTCTGGTCATTAAGATTTTTTTTCTAGCAATCTGGTGGGCAGGATATTTTTTCCCCTTTTTTTCCCATAAACTTTCTATTACATTTGTGCTGCATGCAATTTTTTTTTTCCGACAAGCGCTTGCAGGAATTTTTTTTCAAAATCACCCCCCCCCCTCCCTCAAGAGTTAAATGGTCGGCCCTTTATAGTCCATCAGCTCAGTTAGGGGGGTTGTATGGCTCACTTAAGGGGAACAAACAAAACATGTATAATCTAAATCTTTGAGTAAAAAGCATCACAAAAATGCATGATAGCAAGGATAGAACGGTAGCTTTCACTTTGTAAATCGATTTTTCATGCCCCTTAAACCCGTTTTGGTCGCCATCTTGGATTTATGAACAAACCTTTAATTCCCTCTAAATTTAAACACACGATTTTTTTAAAGAAGATTTGAACTACTAGGTATCTGAGATATTATTTTAGTATTGTATTGTTAAGGTTAGTCAAGATATGATGACGTCATACATGACGTCACAGTGACCGCCATTTTGCTTTTAAAATTAGCCTATTCAACTAATCAGTCTCAATCATCTAAATAAGAAAATTGCTTTTAACATTAATTAAACTTTGGAAGTTCTTCTTTTTCACATTACAAACCTGTTTTGTGCTGAAATGGGCAAATTTGACTTTTTTACGAGGAAAAACGCCAATTTGAAACACATTGGTAACTTTCTTTACTGAACCCTTTGATGACAGCCGGCGAGTCAGCGAAAAAACCGCTTTTTTCACCAGTTCCTCCTCTTTGAACTGGTTTTCGACTAATTAGCATGCATGGCTAAAAGAATGGCTAAAAATGAATTTTGCATCAAACAAAGGCATATTTTCCGACTAATCCCGTAATTAAACAGCTTTTTTGATTTTTCACGCATGCGCACAAGCCAAAATTTTGACTTTTTATTTGCGAATCTATTTCGATCTTTCTCTATCGCTCTCTTTTTTTCTTTGCCTTTCTTCTATATTAGCAGTTTTTTGCCCACTTTATCGTCTTCTTTTTGTATAGAATTGTAGCTAGCCAACTTTTTAGGAATGGAAAAAATTTAATCTTCAAAGAGTAGTAGATAAACCGCCACATTGACAGTGGATTTTTCCTCAAAATGTTACCTTTTCTGTGAGTGTAACGTTGTCAGGATTAGTCAGAATATCCGAAACGAGATATCGCTGGGAACATTTGTGACGTTGTTGCTTATATATTTATTAACTTATATAAACTGAAAGCTAAATGGGTCTAGGAAGGAAAACGTGCATGATCATGCCTCGTTCCATATGGAGTGATAACGACCAAAGTAGTCGTCGAAGGTTTAAGGCCATCGAAATCACAATGCTAGAAGAACATGTTTAGAGCTCAGTGTAGCTTCGTTTTCTACGGCAAGTAAATCATACCTCTACCTAGAGGCAATAAGGCACAAATAAGAGCAGATAACCTGCTCCGGCGGGAGGAGGGGGGTGCACTGAAGGGAAGTCTTGAAAGTGCTGTGCCGCCGAGACCTGCAAACCTCGACACTGTTTAAGATTCTGACATTGATTTGTTTTGTTTTACAAAAACATGATAAAGAATCAAATAGTTTTTCAAACTAACATCACGGAAATAGATACTTTGGAAAAAAATTATTGGTATTGCAAATGTAAATCGCTAGCCTCCACAGTCTTTTTAAGGCTTCCAGCCCAAAAAGACACTGTTCACGACGCTTTTAAGCGAATTTACTATTAAAATAGAATTTTACTATTAAAATAATAAAATAAATAATAGAAATAATATAAAATAGAAATTACTATTAAAATATTAAAATAAATAATTAGAATTTTACTCCCTGTTTAATACTCAAGACCTTGTGTTCAGCAGCACATACCTGACCTGTATGAGCCAAATAAGGGAGTGCCTCCCCTTCTCCCCACCTTGAAACGTGCTCCACTCTTTAGTCTAGAGCTTGTTTTAGAACAAAAGAACTATGATCCCATAACTGACATCATTCGCATAACACCATTCTTCACTGCTGAAATTCGCGTTTGGAAAATTTAACCTAAACAGAGATAGATTCACATGTACTGCATTTTCTGCCCTAACATCATAAGCTGAAGAAAGGTTCATACGCATGAGTTGCAACTACTCTATGGTAACGTGCCGACGAGGGGAGCAGAACGATGGTTCTTCTTGACATTGAG